TCTCTCTCTCTCTCTCTCTGTGTGTGTGTGTGTGTGTGTGCGTGGACCACCATGGGACGTCACAGACCCTGTCCATCCGAGTTGCCCTATGGAATTGGAATGAGGGAAAACGGAGTGCGATCGCAATAGGAGGGGAATGGGGATGATAGAGCCAGGAAGAATCAGAAGCAGGGGGAGAGATCCGAACGGGTTTCGGGTGGCAGACAAGCAGGAGCGGAGAGGCTGGGAAAAAGCAGGATGGGATTGAGAACGACAAGATGGGGTGGAGGGGGACGTAAGACGGGTGCCAAGGACGAGTATCGCTCAGACTCGAGTCCGTTTACCAACCTTCATCCAGCTTGGCCACCTCCACCACCTCCTCCCCTCCTGCTCCACCATGCCCTTCCTCCACCACCGCTTCCTCCTCCTCCTCCTTCCTGCTCCGCTGTCCCTCTCTCCTGTCACCTCCTCTTCCACCACCTCATCCTCCTCCATTCCAATTTTCTGCTATCCTCCTCATCCCGCATCTCTGCCACTCCTGAGCTACCATCCCCTCCTCCTTGACCACCTCACCATCCTTCTACCCGTCATCCTTCGCCGCCTCGTCTTCCTCCTCCCCCTCCTGCTCTGCCACCACCTCCTCCTCTGGCCGCTCCTCCTGCACCAAATCATCTCCCTCCTGCCCGCCATCCCCTCCTCCCCCACCTCTTCCTCCGTTCAACTGCCTCCTGTCATCTTCCTTCACCTACTGCTGTGCCCCCCCCCCCTCCTCAGCCATCTCGTCCTCCTCCTCGCCTTCATCCTACACCACCGCTTCCTCAGCTATCTTGTCTCCTCCTTGCCGTCATCTTCCGCCGCCGCCGCCGCCGCCGCCGCCTCCACAGACGCGATTACTAGCGATTCCAACTTCATGTTCTCGAGTTGCAGAGAACAATCCGAACTGAGGCAATGTTTCAGGATTCGCTCCGCCTTAAAGCCTTGCTTCCTATTGTCATTGCCATCGTAGCACGTGTGTAGCCCAGCCCCCTCCTGTTCTGGCACCTTCTCCTTCTCTTCCCCCTCCTCCTCCTCCTCCACCATCACCTCCTCCTCCTCCCCCTCCAGCTCCATGATCTCTTCCATCATCACCTCTTCTTCCTCCATTCCAACCTTCTCCTTCTCCTGTCCTCATCTTCTTGCGAACAGAGCGCATGGTCAGTATCACTGTATCTGCACTGCAGGTTGCCCAAATACAGCTCTGATGACCGTGTGCTCAGTTTGCCCGCCTCCTGTCCTCCATCCCCTCCTTCTGCCCCTCCTGCTCCACCAAGACCAAAAGAACAAACCTCGACATGCAAACTGCCTCCGGCAATGTAGGCCAAACCCCACTACCAACCCCACCACTGGCAACCCCAATTAAAAGTACCAAAGAAAAAGACGGTCGAAAAAGGAACATGCAAATTTGCCCCCGTCAATGTTGGTAGAATCCAGTACTAAACGCTGCCACTGTTGACCCCAACGCAAAACAACAACAAAATAAAAGCACGGAAAACGAGAATGCAGAATTCCCCCTGTCAATTGGGATCACCACACAAAACAATCCGGGAAAAAAAGGAGTGCATTTGCCACAGACGGAGGCAAGATACAACCATTGCTATGAATAGAAGCAGATATATCATGCCACTTTGTGTGAGAAGATGCACTAAACTTCATTTCATATGCTGTGTGCTGAGGCCCAGTGTTGGCCCAGACTGCTACAGAACCCGACTGCCCGAACCAATTCAGAGTAATACTCACACTAGGTCCTCGAAATCATAAAATCGCAAATTGAGCGGCCAGATCGAGTCCTTCGTTTACAAGAACTCAACCTGGCCACTCATTTTACGTTTTCGCAATTTTAAAAAATCAAAACAAAACAAAAACATTAAAAACTTAAAAATGCCACTGCTGCCTGTCTGGGCTTAAACTCTGCGCTGGGCCTACCCAGTTTCAGGATCCTATGGGAATGCATAACATGAGACCCAAGTTTTGCTTTAAGAAGATAGAGAAATGTGATTGTATCAATTTGTTTGTGTATGTTTTTTTTTATTATATTTTTTTAACCAAGGCTCTGATCTATTCGTGAGGAGCATCATGTGCTGAGAACCGGGCTCGGCTTCCCTTATGAACTGCAACATAGAGAGTATGAGGCTGTGACCCCTTCAAAGTATGTTAAATTCAGAAGAGGTAATTCAAAGATGCAACATACGGACCAGCAGCCCGAAGTAGCCGAAGACAAAGGAAAAAAGGAACACGGCAACAGACAGCCAACGGATCAAGTAGCAACAAAGGAAGATAAAGCAGTGAGGCAAAAGGGCGACCAAGCAACGAGACTTTGAACGAGAAGCGGTGCGTTTTTTGTCTTCTTGATTTCACGTGCGTGCATCTTTCTTCCCCGCATCCTGCAAAGCTATGAATCCCCCTTGGCGGCGGCCATCCGCGGACAAGTCCGCGGCCGCGGCCTAGGCCGCGACCCCGTGGACGTGTCCGCGCGGCCACATAGCGGTCAGTGGGGAGGGAGGTTCGCGATTCGGGAAGCGCCATGGGGCGGCACATCCCCAGCCCCGCCCCCTCAAAAAAAGAAAAAAA